TCTCGCACTAACGGGATGCCGACTTAGCCTAGGGTGACCGATGGTTTAGCACCTTAACTTACGTCGAGGATCGCGATGTGGCCTATAATAGTGAACTCCAGGAGTCAGAGCTTATCTCGTCGTCGGGCAGAGGTTCGTTCTGTGCAGAACTCAGAGAACTGAATGCGAATTTCGGGCTCCGAGGCCCGGCTTTTATACTGTCAGCTTATGGGGCAAGTGCGGAAGTGGTGATGGGCGGGGGCCCTTCGATCATTTTCCGAATTTATTAAATTGTACTTCAATTAGTACTCCGACTAACTTAAGTCGTGGTCAGCTTAAAAGGGGACCTCCGCTCGTCATTTTCCCGCTTACTCCTGATTAATTGCATTTTGCGTTCCCGAATAATTAACGCGCATACCAATCTCGTGTTTTTGCATATAGAGTTCCGCTATGCTGCTCCGAAGCACGTAAACACGGAACGTTCCAGAATTTCGTCGCTAGATTCGCAATGATACTAAAAGTATTAATTTCCCGAGGTTTGAACGCGCGGTTTGCCGCGGCGGCTTGAAGTGGAGGCGCGTAGCGCCCCCGTACGTGGCTGAGATCAACGGTTCGTGTGGAGGTAGCTCCGTTCTCGAGAACCGTTGATGTCAGCGTTTTAACAGCTTATTTCTTAATAATTAACGCAAATTCTTCGGATTTCTTTTATTAGGGCGAAAGCGGAGGCGCCAAAGGTCGGCCTGTTACAGTGGTTGCCTCGGCTGTCGCGGAATTAATCCAGAAACGATAGTAGAGAAAATAAGAATAGAGAACGTATAAGATCACGTGCTGCGCGCGTGCTACGTGCCGCGTCGCGCTATCTATCGGGTGGGCGATCATTCATGCCTCTCGAATAGTGACGTCTGGCGAAAAATAATTCGTCGGACGTAACATATGTATTATTCTTTTGCTGATAGCATGTAAAATAGTAGTTAGAAACAAAAACCAGATGCGTCTCTTCTGACGGTACTGGTGTGCATAAATCCCAGAAACATCTATTCCGATGGTACTGGGAAAATATGTACATATCAGATGCGTCTAGATGGACGGTACTGATAGCATGTAAAATAGTAGTTAGAAACAAAAACCAGATGCGTTTCTTCTGACGGTACTGGTGTACATAAATCCCAGAAACATCTATTCTGATGGTACTGGGAAAATATGTACATATCAGATGTGTCTAGTTGGACAGTACTAATTGTAATAAAAATTAGAAGCGTCTGCTCTTACTGATTGACTGTCTCGCTTGTGCAATACGACATGCTTCAGTCGTGTTATTTGCAGCTGTCAAACCATGCGAATTTTTAGAGAGAGCAAATGGCGCGCGCAAAGCGCGCGCTTGTGTTGTCTAGTATTAAGAAAAAGTTATAATATTTCAAATATATTTTAGAAATAAAACACATCTCAGTGAAACGTTTATTTTGACGATACTAGTAAACTAAGCCAGAAGTATATATTCAGACGGTACTGATTGTAGTACAATTGAGAAGCGTCTGTTCTGACAGTACTGGTAAATTTAATACTAGAAGCATCGATTCTGATGGTACTACATATAATAAAAATCAGATGTGTCTTAGCATGATACTAGTCATTGCAATTATTTGTATATTTGAATCGGAGAGACGGAAAAATTTTATTGGTTGCGTTCTCACGAGAATGGGCGTTTGGAGGGGCACATTTTATATTTTCCATATTTAAAATAATCAGCGTATTGCGTTTCGCGTGTATGTACACATGTGTACACATAAATACGTTACATTTTGTATTATATAATATGTTTTACACTTCCGTGTACATGCAGGGCTGCGTTCAGAAACATCACCCAAATGCCCCAGTGTATCATTTTATCCTTGTCTGTAAGCAACAAGGATAGAATGATACGCTGGCGTACTTGGGTGGTGTTTCTGAACGAAGCCAAGGGTCTCTGACAAGTAACTAACCAATCGAAAAATGCAAATTGTTTGGGTCAAACTGAGAAGATAGGCCAGATTAGGCAGGCCAAAGCATTTTATTTCTCAGATCTCTTAGCGACAGTGAATATCGATCGGCTAGCGAGACGTGCAGCGGTGTGTGACATGCCAAGAACAATTGTCATGGCAGCGAGCGGCACTGCGGCGAGCCTCAGATAACGAGGCGCGTGGACAATAGTTCCTCGACGTCTCGCGCGCGCGAGTATCGCCGAAAAAGTATTGTCGCGAAATTCTTTGGCTGATGGCAGACAACTATCCGTAAGCGCTTAAGACTGACGTAGCCGTAGACTTAAGGTAAGGCAGAGAAAAACGTAAGCCGTAAGGAACACGTGTTCCACGGCTTAAGGTCCTTTAAGGACCTTTAAGGTCGATCTACAATAAGGTTGTAGCGCAGTAGCAGTAGTAAGTAAGTTTTAAGATCGCAAGCCGTAACACGATTCCTACGGCTAGGCTCATCTACGTCCCCCCCGTGGAGCGCCACCTTGTCGTGGTGGCGGGGCTTAGGCGGGCGATCGACCGGGAGCCGTCCGTGTGCCGTTTTAGGCTCCGGCGGTTCCTTAGGTCGGGCGTCCGCTGACCAAGAGCGCTCCGAACGACCCCTCTGCAACTCATTGCACGCCGGTGCTCCGGCCTTATGTGCTTTGGGTTGTGGGGGGGTGGCTCTCCCGTCGCTGGGCTGGACGTGGTCCTGTCTCGGCGGCGGGGGAGGGTCCACCCCGGCGGCATAACCGTACGTGGTGCGGGTCGCTGGGTGGGCGGACAGTGAGGGGGCTGGGATTGCAGTCACGCAGTCCTGGCCACGGACATCGCGGGTCGGTGTCCCCTGTGTCTCGGGGTGACGCCCTTTTGAGGGCGTGCATCCTGGCATGAGGGCGTCGGCCCGTCCGGTCCGAACGAGGTGACGGGCTGCCGAGGCCGCTCGGACGTTTCCGAGGCGGGGCTCGGTGGCCTGGGACCCTCCGGAGCCGCTGGGACGTATTCCCAGGTCGGGGTCCGGGGGGCCGGAGGCGGGGGGCTGTCGCTGGGGTCGGGGGTGTCTTTCTCCCCTGACTTGCGGCGGCAGTCCCTCGGACGAAGGGGCCTTTGAGGGAGTCACGACCCTCATTGTCCCCAGCCGGGGAGACTCTCGTGATGGCCCACGCGATCTAGCGGGGGTTTGCCCTGGCGAGAGAAGCGAGCAAGCCGGTCGCCGCGGCGGGCAAGGTGAAGGTGGGACGGGCCTCCCCCGATACCCCATCCGTCCGCGGGGCCCCCTGCGTGGCGGCGCTCCTACGGTGCCCAGAGAGTCGGAGCTCTGGGACCCCCGAAAGCCACTCTTCGGAGTGGTGAGTAAGGAGGCCAGTGCCGGGGTGCGCGTTTTTCCCCCGGCCCGTGCCATATCCCAGCTCCCCGGGAGGACTCGGGGCCTCTCATGTTTGGGAGGGGGGCATGCCCTGGCTGGGGCAGCCGTAGGAGAGAATGGGATGAAACCGAAATGGCGAGCAACATCCAAATAACGAAGAAGGATAAAGATCCCCGACCTTCGACCTCGGCGAAGGGGAAGAAGGGTGGGGATGAGACCGGGAGTGGGACGGCGGCTGCGGTTGGAAGGAAGGAGACCGACCGGATCCTCTCGGCTGAGGAGGCGGAGGAAGGGTGGGTAGACTGGGTGCCGGCGTTTGAGGAACGCGTCATCAGACACCCAGGGGCGTGTGCCCGCCTGTACGAGGAATGGCGGCTCCTCTCCCCTTTGGAGGCGGGAGGGATGATCCTCGCGCAGGCTGAAGACTGGAAGACGTACACCCTTGACGAGGACGACGAGGACTGGTGGAGGGAGTTGCCTCCAGACACCAAGGAGGACCTCGACACCTTCGTCAAGGAGGTGTGTGTGGGGGCCTACCACCTGGCCCACGAGTTGGAGGCCGCGGTGAATAGGGCGGCTGATCTCAAGGAGGAAAACTCCAACTTGAGAGCCCTCCTCGCCGAGTCAGCGACGGCGTTCGAGGAGGACCGGAGGGCCAACCGGGAGGCCATACAGGAGGGGGAAGAAGAGAGGAGGGCCCTAGAGGAGCGGGTTGAACGACTGGCGGCCCAACTGGCGGAAGTCCAGCGGGACTCCTCCCTCCTGACGAAGGAGAGGCCCGTCATGAGGGGGGTGTCCACACAGACGGAGGACGGACAAGCCCCGAACACCGGGGGCACCTCGCAGGGGACGCGACGAGAGGAGGAAACGAGGGTGCCGGAATGGGCGAGGAACCTCAGGAATGAGGTCTCCCGAGGAATGGGTGCCCTCGCCAAGAGAATGGAGGATCTCGAGAGACGGCTTGGCGGGCCGGCTGCCCAAGACAACGTGGGCAAGCCGCCTCCCCAAGAGAAGGCGAAGGAGACGAGCAAGAGTGGGAGGAAATCTCCTGCCCATCCGGCCACCAAGAACCCGGAGAGAGGAAGGGAGGCAGGGCGATTTCCGGTGGGAGGAGGCAGCAAGGCGGCTGCAAAACCCCCGCGCAGCCCTCGGAAGACCGCCGCTGTCTCCATAACCGTCCCCAACGGGACGAAGGAGAGTTACGCCGCCGTCCTCAGGGCCGCGAGAGACAAGGTGTCTCTCGATGACCTGGGGATGGCGGACGTTACGATGAGGAGGGCCGCCAATGGGGGCCTCCTACTGGAGGTTCCTGGCGACGACCGGGCGAGGGGGGCGGATACCCTCGCCAGAGAATTAGAGGGAGCCCTAAGGGGCACTGGGGCCAAAGTGTCCAGGCCCGGCAAAACCGCAGAGGTGCGGGTGTCGGGCCTGGATGTAACGGTCTCAGAAGAGGACCTAACCAAGGCCATCTTGGAGAAGGCGGGGTGTAGGCCGGGGGAGGTCAGCGTTCATATGCTGCCTCAATACCCCGGCAGACAGATGGGCGTGGCGTATGTGCGGTGTCCCGCCGACGCCGCGCGTGCGCTTGCCACCAAGGGGAGGGTGAGGGCGGACTTCGTCTGGGCGATAGTTCGACTGGCGAAATCCCGCCCGCAGAGGTGCTACCGCTGTCTCAAGGAAGGGCACCTCGGGCAGCGGTGCACCAGCGGAGCTGATCGCAGCAAGCGGTGTTACCGCTGCGGCGTAACAGGACACCTGGCGAAAGGGTGTACTAGTGCGGCCAACTGCCCGCTTTGTGCGGACCTTGGCATCCCGGCCAACCACCGGCTGGGAGGAGAGGGATGCGGGAGGACTCCCCCCCCAAGGGCCCGAGGCCCAAGGGAGATGGGACTCGTCCCCCAGTGCGACCCCCCATAAGAGGGGAGAAGAGAGGAAGGGAGCATGACTCCTTGGAGTTGGAGTCGGACTCCTCGGGGGACACAGTAATAGTGCCCCTCAGGAAGGAAGCACTGGCGTCAGAAACGCGACTCCCCATCAGACCGTTAAAGTCTGGAGGAGGGGACGCTGCCGGTGCTGGGGAGGAGCAAATGGAGCTCTCCCCATATGAGTAAGGGGGAGAGAGAAATATCCCTCTCTCCACCCCTGAACACACCCCCCCCGTGTGATAAGAAGAAGGGGGAAATAGGGGGGAAGTTGGGCGTCCAGGTCCCGCCGTAAGAATAGGCCTGGGGTATCTCCTGCCTGTCGTAAGAGGCGACTAAAAGGAGATTAGCCGGGAAGTCTGTAAGGACCCCTGGCGGGCGGGCGTGGGCTGGAGACCTACGCCAGCCCTCCCCCACAAGCAACTAGGGGGCGCGGCGAGGGGCCGGTGGCACCCTCGCCGCAATGGAGGAGTACGGCCCTTTTCAGGGCCTGGCCCGAAAGTCAGGGCCCGAGAGGTGCGCGAATTCACGCGTGGCGCGGGAGCTGTCGAGCAGTAATGCGATCGTGTGCCCTCGGCAGTCCCCATATAGCGCATAGAAGTCCACCCCCGGTGGTTTTAGTGCGGTAGGCGTCTCCATTGCACACTGGCCTTGGGTTACCAATTGCCCAAGTGCCAGGGAGACGAGTCCCACACACCACCCGTCCCCTTCTCCAGGGGGGGGGGCGGGTGACGGTCCATGAGGATTTCCACCGGGTCAAAAAAAAGGCTCATCTACGTGGCCTGAGACTTACCGACCCATGTCGGAAGGAGCGTCAAAATTGAGGGAGAGTGTTGGGGATTACAATTTTCCCGCCTATCCCAGGCAAGCCACCTACTCCCTAGCGTGCCTTGGTTACAGTCGCGGTTTACAGCCGTGCCACCAACGTTAATATCGCCACCTTTCGTTTTCAAGTTCGTAGATATTTTTCCGCAGTGGATGTGGGAGCATCCACCGCCCGGTGTCTTCGCTTGGAACGCCGACTGAATTATTTTACAATTTTCCGGAGGGCTTTTATACCCTCCAGAGTATAGGCGCGCGGGGCAGAGACGGCAGGGAAAAGCGCTGCGTTGTGTATTTCGGTTGTCATGGCAACCGCGTCGCTATTGCTCTCTCATTCGCACCCGCGCTGTTGTCGCGCTCACTCGCACATCGTCATGCGTTCTCTCTCTAGTACCCGCGCCTCCCCTGTCGCCTCCGTCACAATTTAATTTTATGCCGAAACAGGATGAGTACATGAGTTTGTGAAAGCAAATTTATATCATCAAATCTAGCATTTAACAGGAGTACATACTACCATGATCAAAAAGTTCCCGGAATTTATTCATAAAATTGAAAATACAAAATTATTCTTGCAAATCGATATTGTCCCCCTCAAAGTACTCGGAATTGTCCCGATTGCGCACATAACCGATCGGACACGGCAATATTTCCCGATCGGACACAGTCCCGATCGGACACAGCCCCAATCGGACACAGTCCCGATCAGACACCGTTCCTATCGGACACACTCCCGATCGGACACATTTTGTATCGGACACATATGGTTGCAATCGGACACAGATTCTATCGGACAGTCCCGATCGGACACAGGCCCGATCGGACACAGGCCCGATCAGACACGGACTCGATCGGACACTGTAGATGGGTTTTCAAGTGTTTATAACATGAAATTTAAGGCAAACTGTGACTCTAGATGGGTCGGGATATTTATATATACTTAACCGGATTAACTGTTCTGTAAAGCAGATAATTTTCCATCATTTGTAAGTCCATACGCACACAAGAATATTGCGCTTTACAGAAATACGCAAACCCGATACAAAATGTGTCCGATAGAATCTGTCCGATTGCAACCATATGTGTCCGATGCAAAATGTGTCCAATCGAGCCTGTGTCCGATCGGGACTGTGTCCGATTGCAACCATATGTGTCCGATACAAAATGTGTCCGATCGGGAGTGTGTCCGATAGGAACGGTGTCTGATCGGGACTGTGTCCGATTGGGGCTGTGTCCGATCGGGACACTGTCCGATCGGGAAATATTGCCGTGTCCGATCGGTTATGTGCGCAATTGGGACTCACTCAAAGTACTCCCCCCCCCCAACTGCAACGCAGATGTGCCAACGCTTGATCGAATCGTCGAACCCCTTTTTATACTCGGCTTTTGGTATGTCGAAAAGGGCCTTCGTCGATTTTTGGATTATCTCCTCTCTGCTGCTATTATAAAACGCGTTCCTAGGAGCGGATTTTTGACTTTATTGAACAGGAAGAAGTCACACGGTGCCAAATCAGGCGAATTAGGCTGCTGCTGGATGGTGTTAGTACTGTGTTTGGCCAAAAAGTTACGAATAACCCATGCATTGTGGGACGGCGCGTTATCAGGATGCAAAATCCAGGAGTTGTTCCTCCACATTTCCGGCTGTTTCCGTCGAATTGCGTCACGCAAACGCCTCATAACGCCCAAATAGTACTCCTTGTTGACAGTCTCACCCTCCGGCAAGAATTCGTGATGCACAACACCATTGTAATCGATGAAAACCGTGAGCATTGCCTTCTTTTTTGACTGGAAACGGCGTGTTTTTTTCGGTTTTGGCTCATCTGGACTGCGCCATTCACTCGCCTGATGTCTGGTTTGAGTGTTATACTCATAAACCCATGTCTCATCACCAGTAATGATACGTTGGATGAATGTCGAGTCCGAATCAGCCTAAAAAATTATGTCTTTTGCGATATCCGCACGGTCCTTTTTTTGCACGAAATTCAAGTCTTTTGGCACCAGCCTCGCAGCAACGCGTCGGAAGCCCAAATCTTTTGTCAAAATGCCTTGTACGGTTCCATATGCGATGCTCAACTCCTCTGCCAACTCTCTGATGGTTAATTTGCGGTTTACACCCAACATAGCCTTTATTTTTTCGATGTTATCGTCGGTTTTCGATGTTGATGGCCTTCCACTTCGTTTGTCGTCAGTGAACTCCACCCGGCCAGCTCTGAATCGACTATGCCACTCGTACACACTAGTTTTCTCCATAGAATCATTGCCGTAACAGTTCTTCAACATTTCCAGTGTTTTTAC